TCTGGATGATCCTCCAGAGTTTGTATCAAAGCTTGAATAGCTCCTTGCACAGGAATGTTTGTGTACATGGACAAAACATCAAAGCTTACCAGCTTATCTTCTTCTGAAATTGTCTGCTGATCTAGAGAATTTCAAAAAATCATACGAATTTTTAACTGATAAGAAGCTCCGGAATTTAGGAATAAGAATAAGGTCGAGACATTTTGCACCTAAGAAAAATCTTACTAACCATGTTTGCAACGAAGTGGGGAAGGATGAGATAATCTATTTATCTAGTACAACTCTGGAGGATAGTGTAGTACTTTTATTGAAAAGAGGACTAAATTTTGCTCTTCCAAATGAGGTAAACCATTCTCTAAAAATACTTGTCGAAATAATTAGCCTATCTGATAGATCGTTGAAGAGGTAAGGAATAGTATTAAACTGGAGGTTATCCCTCATTTTGACCATATAATACCATCTAAGAAAGATTGTTATATTAGAAAGATTTCTAGAGATCTGCCTAATAATAATCTTATCATAACGAAAGCCGACAAAGGTGGAGCAGTGGTTGTCATGGCTAAATCAAGTTATGTAGAAAAGATGCTAGTACATTTAAATAATAATCACACATATAGACCTTTATTGAGACCCAACCGAAAGATTTAAGACTAGGCAAAAGATGCCCTTAAGGTATGCGTAAGTAATGGTGAAATGGAGAAGTAGAAAATGAATTAACTACTCCAGAGAGATGAAAGGGCCCCCACGGCTTATGGTCTCCCTAAGGTTCACATTTTCATCCAAAACGAGGGAGGAAGTCCCGTGGACTGCGTCAACATGAATATCGTATACAATCCAACCGGCTGTAGTACAACGAGTTTCATCCGTCCTCATTAGGGTGAGATCGACCAACTAATCTCTTCTTCATGCACTTTCATACTAAATGAAGGTCCCCCTAACAATGTTATCTCAGGAGATTCATCGAAACCAAGTTTATCTTCGTTATTAATAATCAATCACAGAGGAACTCCTTCAATCTTTATTTTTGGAAGGCAGTAAGCCGAAGGTACCCTAGCCTCCCTTTAAAGAAGTGAATTCCTTTTCGACTTCTCAATTTCTTCTCTGTTTGCAGAAACGTTAAGAGATTCCCAAAGTCTGGTCTTAAGACTCTCTGTGGCTTACAGCCTTCCAAAAATACACCAGGAAGGATTCCTTTAAGAGTGATTGTTAAATAATAAGGGAAATGTAATGCATAAGATTTCACGTTTCTTATGTAGACAATTAACGAAAGTGGCTGAGTATTGGAAGTATTGAGTGGAGAATTAATTTAAATTTGCTAGATTAATAGATCAACAGAGTATCTATCCATGAGTAGTACATACTTTACCTGTAATGATACAGTTTCTGAAAAGGTGCAAGGCTTAGCAATAGGATCTTGCTTGACTCCTATTTTAGCTAATAATTACATGTCAAGAATGGAGAAACACTTCATGAAAGAGGTAAGATTGACACCCAAACTGTCAGTTAGATACAGGGATGATTACTTTGCCACAAGGCAGCATGGCAAGGATAATTTAGATAATTTCTTTTTTTTATTAACCAGATTGACTGCAATGTTAAGTTGACAATGGAGAAGATGAGCAATAATTTATCCTTTTTAGATGTCTTAGTGATCAGAGCAGGCGAGAAGTTAGGCAGGGATATATATAGAAATCCAACACATACTGGCTTTGTCCTTAACTTGTTCTCCAATCATGGTTACAAAACCAAGGTGGGAGTTTTAAAATTTAGGATTATTCGTAGCATAAGACTAGCCGATATAGACCATTGTAAAAATGAACTAGATCGGCTTAAAATAATATTTCTTAAGAATAATTATCTCTTAGGTCTGATTGAAAATAGATTATTAATAAAGAATAGCTTTTTGAATGGTGAATACGTAAGGAGAGATAAGGAGACCTTTTCTCATGTTTTGTCTTTGCCTTCGTGCATTCTCTCTAAAAGGAGAGGTGATCAAGTAAGGAAGTAGGAAATAAAAACGGTTTTCAGGGAAACTACGACACTTTCCTCAGTTATGCCCACTTTTAGAGAGAAAGTTGGCCCATTATGTTAAGAGTGAATATGATAGACGAGCTGGAACTCATTCTTGTAAAAGCCTCAGGTTAAAAATATTGTTAACTTGAGATGGAATACAGGAAACATCCTTCTAGGGAATAAAAATACGTTTTGGAGAGATTTGATTGCTTGTGATCAGATTAAAGGCCACTCAAAGCCACCGAAATAGGAAAGTAGCTAAATTTTGACAATTTATCTGAATTTAAGACAAGAATATAAAGGCATAAGAAACAAAAGCTCCGGAGAATTATGCTTTAATGGTCACAACTCTCATATTAAATAATATGAAAATTGTATTTATCTTTGCTGTCAAAAGATAGTGCGACCAATGCCAACTCCGCATAATCTCTCTACAATTCCAGCTCACAATTTATTTAATTTTGCACAATACACACACGCATATATATATATATATAGAAAAAATACCGGTTCGTCCAATTCCTGCGCTGCAATGAATAACGATTGGAGATGGTAAATCATCTGCAGTTTTGTAGGGGGATTGAATCTGAACCTTGTTTGGAGGGATGTTAGGGTCCTGCACAACAGATGATGCCTCGTTTGTATTTTTCTCGGCAGGTGCTGAGAAACCGAGACCACAACGTTCAGTTCCTGGCTTGTTAAAAGTCAAATGAGGGTTTGACGATGCTGACATTGGGTTATTGTTGGAGGATAGAGAGGTATTCGAGGCAGGCAAGGAGAGAGGTGAGGAGTGGCTTATTGAGTGCTGGTCGAAGACGATATCAGCATATTGCCTATTTACGACGTCTAGGAAGGCTAGGAAGCCATCAGCATCGCTAGGTACATCAAAGTCGGGCCAGCCGAGGAAAAGAAGATGCTCAACTTCCAGACTCTGCTGCTCTGATGAGGCAGCAGAAGGGAGTTGAAAATCCTAGTGATGAACAGCAAACAAAAACAATGTAGAATGTATAAAAAACGAGGTAGAAATATAAAAAATGAGTAATGAGAGGGAGCACATTAAGTAAGGTGATTAATTGCACGATAGGATCATTCGCCAATTGAATAATATATATAAGAACCTCGTGAATTCTGATAAAAAATTTGCACAAAAGTGAAATAAGCAATATAAATCAGAAGTCAAGATCAAATGTAGATTAAACCAGAAAATTGGAAATTCCCTCAATAAAAATAGTCGGAGTCTATAAAAAGGCTTAAGCTTTGCTTAAGAGTTAAGCTCAAGTTATGTTGATAGCCTTCCAGAAAATACGAGGATCTTCCTTCTAAGTTATAACCACGTCGATGTAACACATAAGAGCAACAAGATTAAGAATATTGTGATGAAACTTAAATGTGGTCAGATAATTCTGAGAGGAAAAATAGAGTAATTGTAAGGCAATTTTTAAAGGAAATAGGTAGCGGACTTAAGACGATTTTAAGAAGTCTAGGATCATAACAAAAGACTAACACGCTGGAGGGTAGACTGAAGGGTCACCTGCGTCAATGCATAAATAAAGAAATACTGTAAAAAAGGGAAAAAGCAGCTAATCAGCGAGCTAATAGGCCTCCGAATGGTTGATATTTGCATTATTTATGATTATTGTGTATAACGATTGGCCTGTACGAATTTGAGGTAAATCTTGAAAGCTTAGGAGTCTTCAGCATGAAATTCGTATTGACTTGTGGACTCACAAGTGATAAAGAGTGGTCCTTTGCCTCAAATTAATTATGTATACTAATAATCTAGCAAGTGGTGCAAGAATACGCATAAACAGAACAAGATTTAACAATGTATCAACAACCAGCTTCTGATTAGCTCATCATGGCAGCCGTATAGCATGATAGGCAAACTACTGAGTAAAAAATGTATAGAGACTAACACTCCTTTTACCGAAAATATTCGGACTCCAGATCAGGCCGCATTAGCATCTAGGCGGGGATACCTGCTGAATCGTGCATAAGAGACTATCTCAATACAAAACCACATGTAAAGATTGACGGCTGAATGTACGGATAAAACAAGACACCAGATAAGATTGCCTAAAACCAAAAATTTTAAAGACTTTATAATGGCGCTTGGTGAATCGATACAAACTAGGAAGGCGATGGAGATCCTTAATATAGGAATTTAATGGACAAAATAATGCGGTAACTACATTCAGTAGTTGGATAGAATAGAAGAGAGACAAGATGAATCGCCGAGCGTGAGGAAGTTTGATTAGCCTGGTCTGATAATAGCTCTAGCATCTAAAGTCAAGCATGATCATTGCAAATATACAAGGGGCACATAAATACATGAAAAAGCAAGAAATAGCATTGCAGGAACACGCTAATAATCATTTAATAGGTAACAGGATGATCGACCACTTTCACACCAACCTTAACTCTTCTGCTAGCATGCAGGAAGAAATATCAAGTGGCAAACCAAACCATCTGATGCATAATTGATATTTTTAAATAAGGTTACAAGCAATAAGGATTTAATTCAGGCAAATTTCTCAGCTTAGAGTTTGGTCTTCCCTATGACGTGACAGAGGAAAATACGGCATGGTTTCATAGGAATATAAGCACAGTCGGCTCATAATTTATAAGGTAAAATAAGCAGCAACAAATGGAAGACATGCTTCCTGTAGTTTCAGGATTCCACTTTTAGGACAATTTAATAAGACTGTAAATAATTTCCACATACCGTCCCATCATGCAAAGTGAAAAAAATTGGAATTGACAGGGCATTTAGTGCGTATTTACAATGTTTTCAGTTTTCCGATAGCATGAATGTCTGACAAAGAAGTCTGATGCTGACAGAGCAGAATAAAGCCTAAAATTTAAAAAAATTGCACAGGAAAATTTAAGAAGCCGTCTTGTCCTTTTTTCCCTCTTGCATACCTCTGTTGAAGAACGCAAAGGTGCAGGGTTAAGTAGTGCAGCCGCTTTGGATGCCATTGCAGTCGAGCGCCGGCTAAGCATCGTAAATGCAGGTTGAAGAGCTGAGGAAAGAGATTTGCCACTAGAGCCAGTGATCCCCGAAGTTGACGAAGGCGACATGGCCGACCCATGAAAGTCGGAGGAGGGTGCAAATGAAGTAGATGCACGAGTGACACGTAGCTTCGAACGCCTATATAAGCCACCAGCCTCAGAGGTCTCGCTGAGAGACGTCACCGTAAAAACTCCAGCTTTCAGCTGACCGTCGCGACGCGCACCGAAAGCAGCTGTTTGCGAAGGCCAATATTGAGAACACTTAACACGACGACCTTCGAAAGTTCTAGGCATATGTGAGACGAGATGATTGCAAAGGAGAGACCAAAAAATGGAAGAAGACAGTTTTCTATCAGCTAAAGCAACGAAATAATTAATATAAGTAAAAAGGGTAATATCTAAACGAGCATTCTCGATAAGGCAAACTTTGACTCATAAGCTGAACTAAGATACCTGGAACAAGTTGACCTCAAGTCAAGAGTCTACTATAATCACCAGGTAGATGGGTAAATTTTATGCGAAAAAAGTGAATCAATTGATAATAATCCCGAACTATTATTGACAAGATTAGCTTACGGAAAATTACGTTAAATATTGCAATAAGACAAGACACGATGCATACATTATGCGTTTCAGGTATGCCCAATAGCTAACACAATTTTTCTTCGAAAAAATGCAACATGAATATATAAGTCAAGTGCAATAATATAAACAGAAGGGTGAGACAAGTGAGTAGGGGAAAGTAAAAATAACCACTATGTAAAGTCGTTTGATCCATACTGTCAGACTCTAATAAAAGGATTTAGTGAATCGGACTCTTTTTCTCTCTGTATCGGTAGAGCACAACATTTTGAGTTATCTTAATGTCACCTGACATCAAGAATTGAAAGCAAATGTCCTAATTAATACAGACGTTCCTCCAGTTTTTTCCTCATGTACACAGACTATTCATTATCCACACATGTCCACAATCCTTCATCGTAACTCATTCAACCTCACCTATACACACCCTCATCAGTATCCATAAGCGAGCTTTGATTCGCACTCCTCACCTGCAATTTCATCCATCAGACTCGGCTCCCACACTCAAAACCGAGTCAACTTTTTAACACCAATAAGATCAGATCAGGCAAAGCATTTCCCAGGAAGTACGTATTCAAAGACAGAGCGATTTCCACCCAGATCCGTCGTCCTCGACACCTGCGTCATGCTGGATTTTTCTGCTAGATCGTTCTTGTTGGAGAGGTGACGTTTACCGATAAACCATGCAACGCGCCGCTAAAAACGTTATACCTTAGCACCACATTCCAGCCTATGCGTTGAGGCTCTGAGCATCTGAGCGTGATGAAGCTTACGTGTGGCTACACTTCGGAGAACACCGTTGTGGACAATGACGTACTTCGTTTTATTAAGTATATATTAAATTTATATCAACTAAATATTTTTCGTATATATAGGAAGCTTCGAAAAATTCCCATTAGCCCTGTAAAACAAGGGCATTGTGTAAATGTAGCTTAGTGGTTACGCGTCAAACTCACATTCTGCACAGTCACGATTCGACTCCCGCTGGAGGGTGTTAATAAGACCTAGGTGAGATCGAAACTGTAGTCCAATTTAGAAAAGAAAAATTTTTGGGAAAGCAAGGCTATGTGAAATTCAATGGAGATATCAGGTCTACTCATATCATATTGGGAAAATTCTACTACTAGTCCTTCATCACCTTGAACGAAATAGGGTGAATACATCTCTTATCTTAAAAAATAGTTATGATAGTCCCTCTCAAAGAAATTGAAATAAAAGCATCTGTATCATTAATTAATGCGTAATTTGTGTACATTTTATTATATGAGTGAAAAGGCTCCTGACCAATCTTATAATAAAACATAAATATAGAATATAAGTTAGCGAATGTGGTCACACTAGTTCTAATAGGATGATGAAGAACAGCTAAGGAATTTTTTCCAACATAATAGAAGTAGAGGTTATTTGACCTTGTTTTCGCAACTTGGTCATATTGGTAGAAGACTTAGAGGAACGCACCTAGTCCGGAGTCCAGTGTATGCATAATACTTTCCAAAGTTGGACCATGGACGTGGTACATTCCCAGGCGTTTCGCCGGCATTATTGTTGGTGATACGTTTGGGAATGTACCACGTCCATGGTCCAACTTTGGAAAGTATTATACATACAATGGACTCCGGACTAGCTTCGTTCCAATAAGTCTTCCTACCAATATGACGAAGTGGCGAAAACAAGGTCAAATAACCTATATACAATGAACGGAGACTGCGACCACACAAAAGGCCACACCATCTTGGTCTTCATACTTTCGATAATAGAAGTAGGCCTGATTTTATCATCATTAAGTATATTTTTGTTGTGCTTACTTCCATTTCGAGTGAAAGTGTTTGGTGAAGAGATTCTAAGGTCGATTCCACCAAAAGACGACGGCGGATTCCTCTTGACCAGCTGTTGATTGGCGTTAATGAAACATTCATGCTGACACTGTTTCCATGGTAGTCTCCTTCGATTCCGGCAAAAAGGTGCTAAGCTTTCGTCCGTCATATGACGAATATTATCAGATCGAGGTATCATTATCACAACCAAATTCAAGCTAACGAGTCAAGAAAACTCACCGGCAAAGCCCTAAAAAGGGGTAAATATACTCTATATATATCCTCTTGAATCAAGTATAAAGTGATTTAGTTAGTTACGGTCATATGTCAACTTCGAAGCCTGTGAGTGTGTCTGTCTCTGTATGTGTATGTGCCTGTTTGTGTTCGTTTATGCACGAAACCAGGGGTGACACACTCACAGGATTCGAAGTTAATATATGAGCATAACTAACTAAATCAATTTATACGTCATCAAAGAAGCCAGATGTAGAGTATATATACCGCTTTTTAGTGATTTGCCGGAGAGTTTTCTTGACTCGTTAGCTTAAATTTGGTTGTGACAATGATACCTTGTTCTGATGATGTTCGTCATATGACGAACGAAGGATTAGCACCTTATCACCGGTATCGAAAAAGATTACCTTGGAAACAGTGTCAGTATGAATGTTCCAGTAAAGCCAATCGACAACTGGTCAAGAGAAATCC